GCCTTATGTGGGGTTCTACCCAGTCTTTGATTTGTTAAATGCTTCCAAACTTTACAAAAACCTGAGTTTGGCTTTGGATATTTAACTTAAAGTCTTAATTAAATGGAGTCAACAAGTTTCGGCCATGTGAGCTTTTTCTGCCATGATCAGAGCATTTTCTTCTGCTTTTTGACGATCTTTGTCTCTTGTTTCCATCAGTGTTTTGGCTCCATAGCTCTATCACTCATTTGGCAGGCAGTGACGTGAAACAGAGGACATGAAGGAGTCTGTTCTTTCTATGACATTATTCCTATTTAGATCATAACAGGCAGTAGTCTATTTGTAAACAAAAAAAAAAAGAGGAGGGGAATGGTGCAATAATACATAGCCTAATTAATATAGTCTATTAACCTAAAGCGATAAGCATGATCTGGTTGTTACATGTCAGGTACGCCGGTCATTGACCATGACCAAGGCACCTTAAAGTAGAACTGCAGTCAGTCCCTGGACTTGCATGGCTATCACTGCTCCTACATAGTTAGGGACAAATATCCCACTGGGATCTGCTTCATAGCCATGGTAGGACACGTCTTTGATTTTATTTATTTTGCTCAGGCTACTCATAAGCCCACAGCCCGCCAAACGTCTAAAGGGCAATATTTAATATATAGCAGAAATTCTACAGATTCAGTAGTAAAATGTCAGAGGGGATGGTAATGGGGGTTGGCCATTTAAAAAGGGGATGATTTTAAAGGTTTTGTTGATGGGTTGAGTCATGTACAGTGGTGTCACTGTACACACATTTGTTACTTAAGTAGAAGTATAGATACTGCAGTTTAAAAAAAACTCTGGTAAAAGTTGAAGTATCAGCTTGACCTCTTTACTCAAAAGTGAAAAAGTATGTACTCCAAAAACTACTTAAAATATAAAAGTATAAAGTAACCTTCAAAAAAAAAAAACCCAAAAAAACGGCCAGACGCCTCTATATGAATTGAAAGCTCAATTTTTCGACTATTTCAAAAAATTCTCTGAGATAGGGCCAAGAATGAGGGAGGTCTTGTTGGTCTCCATCTCCCGATACGCTCTCGCCTGTGTTCGACTTTTCAGACATTTCAACATCTTTTTCTGAGTCCGACACTAGCTACGTTTACATGCGCAAAATTTCCCCGATCCAATCCAAACCTTGGTTGATCGGAAATTCAAAATCTCCGTTTACATGGACACTAAATGAAATGATCCGATCTTGACGTGTGTATACATGTACCAAGCGTTGGATCAGATTAAATCTTTTAAGCATGCGCAGAACTTCCTGCCAAACTTGGCAGTTCTGTCTGCGTCTGGTTTTTGGGAGGCCTGACAAACAATGTGCTCGGAGCGAGCGGAAAGAAAAACGGAGAGAGGAGGAAAAAAGCGCTTGGCAGCGAAATGTCCGAGAGAAAATGTAGAGAATGAGCGATTGAACCGGCGTGGGAGAGCGAGTGGGCTGTGGAGAGAGAAAAGAGGAGGAGGATAAATTCCTGCTTCCTGCTGCTTTAAATGAACTTGAGTGTATAAGTCGGCGTTCCTAGACTCCTCCCGCCATGTTGTTCACAACAAGAGCGAGAGCGACCGGTGGTTTCCTGTTGTTGACAAGGCGGAAAAACGTCACGCTGACGTCGCACACATGCGCAGTGAAGATTATTTTACTCTTAAGATCAGAATGGGTGTTTACATGGACGCCAATCAGAATGGCGATCGGCAAAAACCACCTCTCTCTTTCGGAATTAAATTTAGATCCGATCGGACCGAATCGGATTAGAATCTTCAGTCTGACATGTTTACATGAAACATTTTTGATCTGATCAGGCCTTCAATCCGATTATTTGTGTCCATGTAAACGTAGCTATTGTTGCATGTAATAGACAATTCAGGTTTACAGTTTGAATAACACTTGCTTGCTTCTGATGATTTCCTTTAATAGAAAATGTCTCCATGTTAAAATCTAAAGTGTTTTTTGAAGTAGAGAACAACAATCTTTCAGTTTGGTATTCACGTATTTCATAAAACACCTAAACTGAACGTTTGCTTTTTTTCGTCCTTTTTTCTGTCTTAATGAGAGCAGTGGGCTTTAGGCTGCCCTGCAAGGCTTTAAACCTGGGTTTGAATGGAGACAAAGTCATTCTCAAGCACATATCAAGGTGCTCATATTGAGCCTGGATCTATATTTATTTTTGATTCTGTTCATGGTGGAGAATCCTGCTTCACAGCAGCAGGTTGAGCCAAACATCCTCTAAATGATCAGGCTCCGCTCCGGTCCAGTCTGGCCAGGTCAAGATCCGCTATTGCAATCGCACCAAACAGGAAAAAGAACGGCAAGAAATCTGGTTCGTCAAATTAAAATATAGAAACAACAGATCGGTAATAACTACAAATTAGAGCATAATTCTTATATATAAAAAAAAAAAACTAACACCTATTATCTAAATGATTGGATGCAAAGTATTGGTCCTTTACCAGACCAGGAAACAGATTTCTCATCTCCATCAGAAACTGCACATATGCTGGATGCTGATGGGGATTATTTTAATGTCATATTAAATTAAGCATTCATTTCTGCATGTTTTGCTCCTACGAATTTAATGATAATATCGCGCATGCTCTCCTTGAGCTCAGAGGAGAAGTCGGAGCGGAGCAATATGGGAAGAACAGTGGAGGCTGTAGGCTTTGCTTTGCGCAGGTATTCTGGAGCACTGCGGGGCGGAGGATGTGGGATTTTGGGGTAACAGGAGAAGTGGTGGAAGTCACTTTTAGACAATGTTGTCAGACAACATACGGTAATTTATAAATGTTTTAAATCAGGATGGGTCCAGATTAGACAGCAGGTGGGTCCCGATCCGGACCGCGGTCCTCTAATTCGTAACCTCTGCATTAAACCAAAGCCAAGAGTAACGAGTAATTTTTGTTTTAAAAATGTAAGGAATAGAAAGTACAGATACTTGAGTAAAAGTCAGAAGTAAGAAGAAAAATAAGTAATGGAGTAAAGTATAGATACCTAAAAAGTGTACTTAAATACAGTAAAGAAGTATTTGTACTTCGTTACTTGACATCTCTGCTATTCTCCCACTCTGCATAATCTGTTAGTTCAATCTCTAACGTTCTGCTCTCTCTGCTTTTTCTCATAGTAGCTTCATCTGGTCTGTTCCTGTTTGGCTGTGACTCCATCCTGGAGAGAAATATCTGCTGTGCTGCTGCCATCAACACCTTTGTTTCTAGATGTTGGAGCTTGGTCTGTTTTTCAGTGTAGTCGTGTTTCTCTGACTGTGACTGAGTGGATGTGCTCTCTTCATCCTCTGACATAGGAGTTGGCTCAGTGCTCGTCTGCCTGGCTGTGTGTTTCCTGGACGGGGCCTCCTGTTACAGTTGCCTTTTGCATCTATGCTTCTTTTTCTATGTCTGCTTCTGTCTCCTTGAACCCCAGTCGGCCTCGGTAGATGGTCGCTCCCACGGAGCCTGGTTTTGCAGGGAGTTTCTTCCTGTTAAAAGTAGACTAAACTTTCACTACGTGCATGCTTAGTGTGAGGGATTGCCATCAAGTCAATGAATTGATGAAATCCGCTGGTTTTCCTTAGATAGAAAACTTTGAATCAATTGACTGTTTGATCTGGTGAATTGTAAAAGGCCTTGTGATAACATGTATTGAGAATTGGTGCTATAAAATGAATAAATAACTGTTTTGTTATTTAAGCAGAAACATTTTTAAAGAAACATTTTAATGAATAAATCACTGTTTTATAGTAGTAGTCAGGCAAGGTGTGCAATCAACTGTGTTTAAGATAAATTTACCGACTTCACATAAAAAGTCTATTTTAAAGAAGTTTAAGTCTCTTTAAAATAATTAGATCAGCTTTTCTCTTCAGCTCGTTTTCCATCTGACACCAGCAGGGAGAACAGAGCTGGATGGCACCTGCTACACCTGGTGTTTGACACAACTGGGCTAAATCCTGGACCGTAATATCACAGGTTTTATTGAAGGATGTAAATCTAAGATGGGCAGTTCAGTGTACAGGAGGACAAGGTGCAGCATTCTCGCATGCAGAGAGCATCTCAAGAGCTTCTAAAGTGAATTGTTACTTCTGTTTGTCTTTTTAACATTATTATAAAAAACTGTAGACATGCTTGCATCTATCAGTGAATTGCCTAAACTGTAATCCTTGTCAAGAAATAGGATCTGCAGCCATATTCTACAATATGTTTACAATGCCGTCTAATTTAGGACAACAAACATCCCTCCAGCCTTCTATAACGTAGGGAAATACTGAGTGTTCAAAGTTAATGTATGCAAAGTAGGCAAAGGTAATGAGGATATACTATAAGGACCACTCCTGTTAGATTGGGGTCATAAGCTGAGTGTGGAAAAAAAAACAAAAAACAGAATCATGAGTAAGAAACACATATCTGGATGTGAAAAAAGAATTTCAAAAAACATGATAAAAAAAACACTTTGGATCTCACGATATAAAATCTGAAATAACAATAAAGGGAAGAGATGAACAGAATTAATGACGGGGATTTAGTTTCCCATCAGCTTGAAAATAAAAAATAAATATGTATACTGTATATATGAAATTGCAGTTGAATTTAAATATGCTTAATATCTTTCGACAGCTGAAGTAATAATAATAATTATAAAAATCTCCCCCTCAACACCCACAAACACGCACACAGTTCACACACAGGCACGCATCCCGCAGTAAAATATGCATTGTTTCTCAATGCACAAATCAACAACCGTCTGCTGAGCTGATGAGATTTTAAATGAGTCCTAATTTGTGAGGAATTGTGTTTGGAAATGAAATGATAGAAGAGGGGGAAAATAACAGAGATGCAAAACAGGAAAAGAAACGAGGTAAACAATCAGAACGGAGACGAGTGAAACGTAAAGAAGGACACACAAGAGCTATAATGAAACAAATGACTTTTATTCCTACAGCAAACCATTTTTGCCGACTAAATGCTGTTGGAAAGCAGACGCGTTGACTTACCTGTGACAACCCCAGGTAAATGGAAACAGTCTCAGAGATGTAGAGGAAACGTCCTTCCTTGTTTAGTGCAAATACGAAACCGTCCAGTGACTGAAAAACAAAGTAGAGACAAAATTAAATTCACTTTCAGTCGTCAAGCTTTGTTCCGGTTCAATTTATTGGAAATATTTCCTTTATTAATAAAGGAAATATTAAATATTTAATAAATATAAATATTTAAATTTAAATATACTTTTAAATATTAAGTAAAAATGAAAACTATGGACAAAAAGATGAATTGCTATCCTTTCATTCAGGAATACAGAAGTGGAGCAGCCTGTGGATCGCGGCCTCTTAGTCCGCGACGCTGCTGCCAGGGTTGGATTTCTGACTGTTTACAGCAGGTCCTCTCTTGCTTTCTCATCTCCTCTCAGAATAAAATCAACTAGTGTATAAAAAAGAAAATGGAAGTTGTTTTTATAGAAGCTGATAAGAATTTCCAGTTTCTTTGGTGTTAGTTTTACTGTAGGTCTCCCCCAGGTTATTTTTAGCATTAGTTGAATGTCTAGATCTGCTTCTGAACAAAATATAAGAGGCCACCCATGAAAATACATTCATTTTGATGACAAATAAACATGTAGAGTAATGAACATTACATTGTTTGCCTTTAATCTTAATTTAGTCATCAGTTTGTAGCACTGCTGCCTTGCTGCCTTGCAGCAATAAGGTCCTGGGTTTGATTGCCGGATTGAGTTCTCTCCAAATGAAGTTTGCATGTTCTCCCTGTGCATGTGTGGGTTCTCTCCAGGTACTCACAGTACAAAAACATGACTGTTAGGTTTATTGGCGTCTCTAATACCTCATTCCCACTGGCCAAAAGACCAGTTTAAACCCGGTGTTCTGTCAGATGAGCATATCCCGTCAGACCAGCATGCCTATAGTCAATACGCATGTACAAAACATCAGATTTGTATTTATTCCTTTAGTTTTGTATGAGAAAATACTCTTTAAAATACCTCAACGGGCATGTATCCCAGTAGTCATGTACAAAAAAAAAAAATAAATTTAAGGTTGCCATACACTTAAAAAAACACCAGAAAAATAAGTAATTAGATTAGTTTCTTTTATATGTCTAAAGGGATACATGCCCGTTGAGGTAGTTTAAAGTGTATTTTTTTTCTACAAAACTAAAAGGATAAACTAAAGGGATAAACTAAATGGATAATCGGGTATTGACTATGCGTATGCTGGTGTGACTGAACACCACGAACAATTGCCTTTAAAGGGGAAGACCGTTTTTTTTTTTACATTGGCCCCTTGATTTATGTTATTACATCATGTTCTACTCACCCATATTAGTTTTGTGTAATTTGGTCATTTGCTGTTCTGAAGATATTCGGTTTTGTTATATCCAAGTAACGTCTTCCTATGGGCAACGACTTGAAGGCACAAACTAAACTGTTCATAATTTGTTCTTTATGGTACGCCAGCATTCATAACATGTAGGCCAATCACTGTCCCCCAGACATCCGCGGTTATATGTCTTATGTTTATATTTTTAAACATAAAAAAGAATTTGAAAAAATCAAAGCGCAGCGTGTATGACGTCATCCGTGCGCTGAAACTAGTCGGGAGAAGAGCAAAAACATCTTTTCCTCTGAGAAAAGCCTCCAGAGCAGTGTTTTGCTCTTCTTTCAGTGAGGAAATACTCTGTAATTCCGATAAAACTTGCTCGATAGCCACGCTAACGCTAGTTTCATCTGCTGAAGCCACCATGTTCTTTAGACTGAACTGTCGCGCTTCTCGTTGCGTTACACCTCAACCCGCCTCAAAGCCAACGCTGATTGGATGTTCGTTTGGTGAACGGCTCCAAATTTTCTTTAACGGAAAGTCTCCAGACTGATCTGCGAGTGAAATCTTGAAAGCTCGCAAGATCAGGATGGTCTCACGAGGCTAGATCATCTGTAGTAGCACTAGACATCTTCCAGGCATGTGAGTAAAACTAGCTGCAGTTCAGTGGACAGGATGAATGAATGGTAGCCGGCGCACATGGATGACGTCATACACACTCCACTTTGTTTAAAAAAAATCTAAATACAAAAAATATAAACGTGGATGTCTGAGGAACAGTGATTAGCCTACATGTTATGAATGCTGGCGTACCATAAAGAACACATTATGAACAGTTTAGTTTGTGCATTCAACTCGTTGCCCATAGGAAGACGTTACTTGGATGTAACAAGACTCAGTATTTTTTTTGCCAGTGGGAAGGGAACCATATGCCGATTGTTATTGGGTCAACCCATGTTTGAAAAACAGGCGTAAACTATCGGTGGGAATTGGCATGTGTGTTGAGATACTTGGGTCATGATACCATTTTATCACAATATTGCAATATCACTATATATTTGTGATATTTTACTCAGCAATCAAAATGAAATGTATAGATAAAAAAAGGCAAGTGTTGCATATGTTTATCAGAATCAATGTTGTTTGGGGTTTGAGTCATTCCTTGTCTTCTACTGACTGCCTCAGCTACAGAAATGGTGCTGAACAACACCGCAAAAGGGATCCATGGCGCCATCTACAAGAATGGTGGTGCAGAGATACCTAATTTTCACTCATTGATTTTGATAAAAAAAAAATATATAGATAAAAAATGTAATCAATATTAGTACCTGAAATGTAAATAATATATCAAAAATCACAAATAGTTTTTTTTTTCCAACACCCCATTAACCTTTTCATGACATGAGGACCCAAATTTGGGTCATCAGCACTCGCCCCAAGATGGTTTTTAGACCTGTGACATATTATCTGGGGTCTTGCCTTTATTTTGATACCAAAACAATTAAAATAAACTCTGTAGTTCTTGAGATATATTCAATTCATTTCGGCCATGTTATTTTCAAGCATATTTCTCGAAAACAGGCCTAGTGTCCAAGAAGACCTGCTATTTTAAGTTGGAAAGAGGCTCAAATTGCCCTTAGCTGTGAATGTGTGCGTCCCTATGTGCCGCTGTGTGGCCCTGCAATAGAGCTCTTGACCCGTTCAGGGCACACCACACCTTTCGTCCACAGACAGCTGGAGATAGGCACCAGGCCCATCGGTAGCCTTAGGGCGAAGATGTTGTAGTCATTTCATTTTTATTTTTCAACCAAAGTGAAAAACAAAGCCATCCTGATGCACCTCAGCCCTCAGACAAAGGTCTCAGCATGTCTAATAGTGTATTTATATGAAATACATGCTGCAGTACTCATCTACAGGAACTCATCCTACACCTACACACTCAGATAGAGGCAATCCAAGGACACATATTCTAAAGGAGACACTTTCAGACCGTAGTGTATCCAATCCTGTTGTTTGCTAAATATGCCACGGCAGAGCTGAGCACACAGCTTCTGAAACACAAGGTAAAAATCCAAACCAATAGCAGGCAGGGTAATGATGTACTGATACCAGTACATCATTACCATGTTCTTTGAATTATTTATTATATATCCATAAAAGTGAACACATTTTTTCATTTCTATGTCACAGTGTGTTGATTAGGTAAAACTAATGTGTTATATTTCTTTATCAAGAAGGTGTTTTTTTATTATATCCAACTAATCAGAAATCCCTTAATAAAAAAACAAACAAAAAGAGGTGATGAAGATTTTCCTTAGAATTGAAACTAGCTTTATTCTAGGAAAAAATGTGTAAATCTGAACTCTCTTACAGCAAACTTATATTTACTTTTCATGTTCAACTTGTTTTCTGTTTAAACTGTATCGTTAAGATTTAAGGACTTATATTTTACAGATCCTATCTTCACATTCACAAAGCTTAGTAAACAAACTTAACAGTTCACTGATATGTGAAGTTCTCCTTGATCATCTTATCGGTAACGATCTACTGTGGCTGGTGCTGTAGGGGAGGCATTTGGTTTTATGATAATACGAGGATAATTGACTGCTTTGATAATATCCAAATGTTTGTCTGTCTGGGGTCGCACGACATTACAATTGTTTTCCATCTCAACCCATAATTTTTGTAATTCTTTCTTTTTTTGTCATCACAGTCATCACCTCAACTCTAAACAATTCAATGACCATCAAAGATAATCTCAGTGAATGTAATTCTTCAACAACTGACACACTGAGGCTGTGTCTGAACACCCTAATCACTATATAGGGCCCTATATAGTGGTTACGCCATAAAAAAAAAAAAAAAAAGTAATGAACTCGAAACTTCCACCAATGAACCTCGAAAAGTAGTGATCATCCACAGTCATTCGACAAGCAGATATATCCTAGATTGCTTTGCAAAAGCTCTCCTTGCAGAGTTTCATGGGATTTGTTGTGACAGTGACCTGCTGTAACAGCGGTGTCCCGATCCGTCCCAGAAGCACACTCCGTCCTGCGCATGCGCTTTCGGCTCATTTGTGCATCCAGATGTACATTTGGGTTGCCCTTCATTTTATTTTCTTTTTAAAGACCTAAATTACGTTTTTTTCTCCCCAAAAATAGTAAGCGTACTAAAATATAATATGTTAAATGTTAATAATGTAAAAGATGCCTTCAAATCCTTTCTGTTTTGTCATTTGTCTGTGCCCGATCTGCACCGGAATTGGGATCCTACGCTTCTTCCGCAAGCTAACTTTTACGGCTTTGGATTTAATCTCTTAAAACCCATCGGGTCGCCGGCGACCCGGTGGACGTTAAGTTGGGGTAATAACTCAGAATGCATAAAATTCCACCAGTGAACTTTTAGCAGCAGGCGGAGCTATTGCACGCAGCTCCAAGCTGACACCAAAAGTTCCAAACCCCACAGCTCTTGAACTGTTATAGCTAGAGGTCTGAAATTTTTTTTTGCATTTGTGGTTGAGATGATGTAGAACAAATATAATACAATAAAAGCTGCTTTTTCTCAAGAATTTCTTTATTACTGCTGTTCAAAAACAGACCTATCATTTCCGAGAAGAAAAAAACAAAAACTTTGAGTCATGTTTGAACTGATGAAGGTTGGTCTGTGTTCTACAGGTGCTGGTCATAAAATTAGAATATCATGAAAAAGTAGATTGATTTCAGTAATTCCATTTAAAAAGTGAAACTTGTATATTATATTCA